ACTGATGGTGTTGGTTGTAAGACTTCGTATGTTTCTTCCAGGGCTAAAAAGTTAGAATGACAGAAAGTTAAGGCTGACCCTGCAGAATAGGGCCTCTATAAGAGACAGCCTTCAGGAGAATTGTAGAAGAATGTAACTCCAGCATATTTAATAATTTCTTGTGAAAGAAATATAGAGATATAGAGAAACTATAATGTAGATTTAGAAATGACTGAAAGAAACACTTAACACACCAAAGACAGTTATTGCTGGACTGAAACATTTTAAATGTGCTTAATAGACAGGAATTCATTTATGTATTGTAAAGTCTCCCAACTGGAACATGAAGTCATAATATTTTAACTGGGTTACTATATGATAAGTTGATGCAATTGTACAGGAAGAGAAAGAGAACAGTGGACGATATGACTAGAAAGGTGAGGGATTATTAGGAGATTTGCTGTCTAGTTCACAATGTGTTTCAATTTAAGAAGGGGGATGTTGTATGTAGAACCTTAAATCCACAGCACACTATACAATAATGTACCACACTGAATATTGTAGAATTGAATGTAATAAGATTCTTAAAAAAACAGTGAGATGCCTTACTGGTTTAGGCTCTGTGACATTAATAAGATGGAGCTTGCTATAATGGGAGACTTGTTCAAACTCTAGCAGATATCTTAAAATAAGAAAAACTATTTTAAATGATAGTTACATTTAGTCCTGAAAGTGATGACATTCCAGCTATTTTTTGTTATTTAAAGAATCTGTGACATATACAGTGACTTATTCTTATGTTTCAAAGAGCTAACAGGAACCAAACCAGACACTAACAGTGCTGATTAAAACCAATAACAACTCAGTTCCATTTAATTAAAAAGTAATTTGTTTCAGGTAATAAATGACACCTACTATGAGAGTTGACAGGTCTGTTTTAATTAATGTTATACAGTAGGTCCTGTCTCTCTAGGGAAATAAAGGATATTTTATTCACTCTCCACCTTTTTTGGAGGCATTAATGGCAGTGGTTTGCTTTGCACATTCCTCAGATTCACTCAGGTTTTTTACAGCACTAGTGTCAGCACTTTAAGAGTTTTCATGGACTTTTGACAAGTCCTCTGTTTTTCTCCCACCTCCTAAGGTCATGCTCGCTGGTATAAATTTCCCCTTTTTCTGTGGCCCTGCAGTAGACTTATGTCCCATTAAGGGGGTGTGCAGACATGTTCTCAGTTCCACCTGTGCTTTTAGGATCAGCTCCAGACTGTTGTGATCCTCACCTGAATAAGCAGCTTACTGTTAATGGATGTTCCTTTTTTAGAGGTTTAATTTATGTTCTTTTTATTTCAACATTCATTTTTATTACTGTTGAGAACTTGACAGTTTTCCTCTCATAATTGTATACATGATAAATTCAGCTCTTCAGAAGCTTTTTTGGTAAAAAGGTCTAAGTAAGAACATAAGACAAGTTACAGTACAAATGAGAGGCCCTTAAGTCCGTCTGGGCCAGCTGGTAGTTAGATACTAGTCAGCTTGTGCCCTCTGGTTTCACTGGTCATTCTGAAGAAATACACTCGGTTGACTTTGTCAATGCTTTTGAAGATTTTGAATAGTTATATCAATTCCCCTCATAAGCATCTCTATTCAAAACTAAATAGTTCCAGTTTCTTCAGCCTGCCAGCACAGGAAATTCCCTTAAACTCCAAAATATGTCTGGTTGCTCTTCTCCTGACTGATTCCAGCAACATATTTTGTGTATCTTGGTGACAAAAATTGTAAACACAGTTCTGAATAAGGCCCTACTAGTGTGTCATTCAATTTAACATAACATCCGTTCCTTTTATAGCCACTGTATCCAATACAGGGTGATGGGGGAGTAGGATCCATTCCTGGCAAGCACCAAGTACAAGGGAGGATACACCCTTTACAGGATGCCAGTCAATCACAGGACAAACACAGACACATGCACACTAGACCCAGTTTTGGCATTAGCTGGTTAACCTAAGACATAACATATTACTGTATGTCTTGGGATTTTAGGAGGTAACTAGAGCACTTGGAGGAAACAGAGAAAGAACATGCTAACTCCACCAGATAGCACCTCAGGTCCAGATGTGAACCAAGGACCTCAATGCTGTGAGACAGCAATGCTAACCACTGCACCACCAGGCCGCCCTTGGTTTAAATTCTACACATGAACTACTGTATATTGTATATCCTAGCCTTTTTTTAATTGCTTCTCTACATTACCTGGAAGATGTAAATGACGTATCAAAGTGTACATCTAAATCTTTTATCATAAATTGCCTCTTCTAGTTCACTGTTTCCCATTTTGTATGTATAGGTTATGTTTTTGCACCTGAATGGAACTCCTAGCACATTACATTAAACATCATCTGTAAGGAGTTTTCTGAATGTTCTGAATTTCATTTACTACTTCTATAATGTTTGCTAATCCTCCTAATCTGGTATCACTCACAAACCTGACTGTTACTTTACTGGGCTCTTCCTAATATAAAGTAGGAAAAGCAGTAGTCCTAGTACAGACTCCAGAACAGATCCCTGGGATACTCCACTAATAACATCACCCAAATTTGAATATTCACTCCTTCTGTATGCACTGTTTCCTATTTAATAACCAGTTCTTAAGTCAAACACTTTCCCTGTTGCCTAATTCATTTATTAATTAATTGTTTATGAGCAACTTTTTCCAAAAGTCTTCTGAAAAAGACATTCCATATGCCCTACATGTATCTATTACTGTTGTTGTTTGTCTAAAGAAGTTAATCCATGTTAAGTGATTATAAGGATTTTATTTTCATACAGTATATCTACTTGTTTAGTTCAAATAATTGATTCCATAACCTTACAATTCTTTCTTATGAACTTGTGTTTTACAAACTTTAGAACACTTTTGCTTTCTTAGAATTTCAAAGTTCTATGTAGTTAATTGTCTTTGAACTGTTTAATCGTGCTGCTCTGTTGTGAACTGCAACAGAACAGTGTTGCTTGTATTCAGATGTTACCATCTACTCAATGACAAGATGCTGTGATGGTATGCATACCTCACAGTGCAGTATACAAATAGCTTCATTGCCAGTTATGCATGAAACACAGCAGGGGCAGGAACAAGATGGTTATTTCTTAATTAAATCCAGTATTCAAAATTTATGTTTACATTTCATAGAACATATAAGGCACCATGTGACCTGAAGCAGGGCTTTAGATGATGGCCTTAAGAAAACAAGCAGTATGAACAGAGAAAACAGGAATGCTGAGAAGCTTGTTTTTTTTGTCCACAGCATTAAATTTGGTCCCCACACACATGTGACCACAGGAGTCTTTGTTCCGGGTGCCAGGTTGTTTTTCCAGATGTGATTCTTTTTCTGTGACACAGGAACTGGAGGGCTTCTTACTCAAATAAGCTGAAGCCTTTCATTTGAGCCTGACCTGCGGCATCTGATCCTTATTACAGCCTGATAAAATTAGAAGGGAAAGAAAAACGAGGAAACTATCCCAGCTCTAGCTGTCTGGGTTTCTTTGTAGGATATAGGGATCTTTGCAACTGCATGTTTGAAATGCTTACTCCTTGTACCCTGGTTTAGGGTCTGATTTAATCTTTGTTCAAGTCAAATGAAAAGTGAATTAAATCTGCAGGAATAGTTGATATGAATAGTTTGAATCAGCATATTTAAAATGAGTTGCTGATGGGTCCCTTTGAATTTTATATGCACAACACTGCTTTGGTTACTAGAAAATTGAAAAATAAATCAGTTTAGTTACAGTATTATCCCAACTAATGCAACTTTAATGCTACTTAAGTAATGTAGATGAAGATGCTTTCAGAGCCTGTTCTTTCATGGATACCATACGTAAGTTTCTAAAAAGCAGAGTCATGCTGTTCTAGCAGTTGGAAGATAAGTTATTGGTTTGAGATATACTGTCATTTAATTCATTTAAGAATATAAGTTAAATATTCCTGTCAAGGGAACAGAGAAGCATTGTTACAACAATGTCCTATGTCTTTTTTTGCTGCATATACTGTACAGTATCAACTGTTGTTAGCGTCATTGATGTGATTGAAAAGCACTTCAGACTTTTGTGCTTTATTTTACAAAGGACTCTAAAGCAGTTCAGCCACAGAAATTTAGACAATTAATTTGAAATTTGGTAAAAATTGTGTTTCATTTTTATGTTAATACCATCACAAGATGAAAATGACTCTAGAGAATTATTGGCCAGAGAACAGGATGATGAAGGCATTCAGTCAGGGTTTATGAATGGGTTGATCTCTTTATTGTTTAAATGATTTCTAAATCTCTAAAGCATGATTGAGGTTTTTTATGTGGTGTATTATAAGAAAGACATAAGTAAATTTCTCGGACATTACTATCTACTGAGGAAGGACACTGTGTACTAGGGAAAAACTGAGTACCATTTTCACACAATTGCAATAAGTAACTAACCTTCTTCCAATTAAAAGGTACCAATAATTTTATTTGCATCCATTAACGAATTAAGTAATTTAAAAATGGAGAATAAGTGGTAATGATTTAGTATAGGAATTAGCTAATAACTGTCTGTAAACAATCTATTAACATGTTATTAATAATTGTATAAGCAGTTATAAAATATTATTATATGCCCCTCATCCTAGATTAAGAGTATGGGTTGTTGTTCAGGCTATGATCAGGATAAGGGTTGAATATCCAATTAATTTGCAGTAGAGGTCAGTATGTTACTATACTGTATACTGTAAATACATTTTTTTCATATATTTAATACAGATGCAAATATAAACTGTACAGCTGATCACACTGAGCTCCAAACTGAGAAAAAAAAACATGCAGAGATTACACAGGTTATGCAAACAAGGGAACATATGTAAATACTGTCATACATTTTTAAGCAGCTTTAAGATCTTTAGGTGTGCCATCACCACCACAAAAATGTGATGATTTCTCAGACAAAACAAAAGCAGATCTTGAGAAGCTGACGCTTGTGTGTTTCTTCTGTTGCAGGAATTCAGGAGGGTACGCAATGTACCAAATGCAAAAATGACTGGGCACTCAAAGCAGCCATTGTTCTTTTATATGTCTTATGTGCATTGTTGACTATTGCTGTAGCTATTCTGGGATATAAAGGTAAGAATTATCCACTTTTTACTGTTCACACTGAAGCAAGTCCATAATGAACAAAAACATCCATATAAAACCTTCTTTTCTTTTCTTCCATTTTCCTATTACTACTTTTCCCTTTTAATCTTTTCATAATGTGTCATGTTCAATTATGGAAATAATGAATACCAGGTTCTTGCAAGTATTTTGGAGTTGTATAGCATGTCATGAGGTTTTACAAATTGCTACATTGTTGTTTTCCATTTAGAGAGTGGCCAGAATTTAGACAGAATGTTTCTGCATTAGAATAACCAAATTACCACAGACTCAGCACGAAGGCATAGCTATCAGCACATGGAGTAATGCGGTCATTGTTATCTACACTGTGAGCATCATTTAAAGTAGCTTTCCATTCCCAATATAAATTCCATATATGTACTGTTTTATATATAGCATTTATAGTATATACACAGTCACCTCCACAGTTATTGGCTCCCTTGATAAAGATAAACACAAAAGGCAGGTAATGAGTTATTTTGTAATTCACTATCATATGGAATATATTTACCTCTATTAATCATTGTAATCAACCAAAATTAAAATGTAAATGTATTTTAAAAAAAGTAATTAAGATTTTGGCATCCCTGTTTTCATTATTTAGTGCACTCTCCTCTTGCAAGGATAACAACACTGAGACTTTTTCTATGATGCTTTACAAGAATGGAGAACACATTGGGAGGGATGTTTCCTGGGATGCCATTCCTCCGTACAGAATTTTTCCAGACCCTTGATCAATCATGGACTTCTCTCTGCAATTCAAACCACAGGTTTTCAATTAGGTTCAAGTCTGGAGACTGAGATGGTCATTGCAAAATGTTGATTTTGTGGCCAGTTAATTATTATTTGTGGATTTTGATGTGTGTACAGGCACATGGTGCCCGGTGGAGCTCATTATTATAATCCTCCAGGACCAGTGGAAGCAAAACAACTGCATAACATCAAAGATTCACCACCATATTTAACAGTAGCATCCTTTTCTGCATGATCATCCTTCTTTTGAAGACAAACCCATTGCTGGTGTGTGTGGCCAAACAGCTCTATTTTCCCGGTTCCAAGTTCCAGTGCCATTTAGCAAACTACAAGCACTTACGTTTCTGGTTGTTTTTTTCTGACAGCCCTTCCAAATAGCCCATTGGCATGGAGGTTTTGTCTAATGGTAGATTTGGAGACATACTGTAGTGACCCCAAGATGGAACCAAATTCTGTAGTTTTCTAACTGTGGCCTTTGGATATTTCTTTGCTTCCCCAGCCATCCTCCTTACTGTGTGTGGGGCAAGATACTATACAGTACTTTATCTCCACCAGAAGCTTCATAATTTGCTCAAAAGTATGAAGATAAGTCAAGACAATTCTAGAAATTCTAGAACATTTAGAATCCAGATTATCCAAAATCCAGAATAAGCAAGTTCTCAAAGTGTCCGCTGCAAAGCATCTTAAATAGTCGCACAAGAGTCTGGTCTGCTTAAAGGGTCATAGACTTCATGCAATTATTGCTATTGCAGCATATTATATTGTACTTTTTATTCATATTGTTCTAATGATCATAAAAACAAATTGCTTACAATTACGATTTTGAATTTGGTATCCCAGTATTTTTTTGAAGGCACTGTACATTGAACTGGGGTTAAGGTCAGTAGGTTGGCGAGATCAGTCTCTGTGATCACCTTACATACAGTAGTTTAATATTTACGTCTCTCTCCAAAGATTTCCAAGCTGCTCTCTCAATACATCCGTGAGACAAATTATGGAATGTGTTCGTATCATATTCAACCCTAAATTAAATCATTCACAGATCTGTAATAATATTAGTTTAATTAGCCAAAGCCAAGAATTAAATAGTGACCATGTGTTCACAGAATCCAGTGAATATTAATGTAATAAATTATGTAAAAAACTTCCTTTTTACAGAAGCTTTCCAGACACGCCATATGTTAATAAAAATTCAATCTTACTTGAAAGAAATACTTTGAATGTTATGAAAATATTTTTGGGGGGTTTATGGAAAGTTTTGTTTTTGGGATAGGAAGCAAAGCAAATTAAAGGCATTCGAAAAAAACAAGAAAAAAAATAGATTCTCCATTTCAACTCGTCAAAACATAGTACAAAATTAAATTAAAAGCAGTCAGAAATACCCCTCGTAGTAAACGAGGTTACATATCATATAGGCTAAGCACAAATAGTGGTCTTTCGCTTACACATTTATTGGAGAAATTAATTTATACAACATTTGTATGACGCTGTTCAGTTAATGCAGCTGTGGCATACTTGTTAGATTTTCTTTCCAATCAAATGTCAACTTTGAAATCGGCAAATCGCATAACCACCAGTCAACTATGTCTTAAAATATTTAGTCTTCTTCAACAAAATGCATAAACACTGTTTCATGTCTTGCAGCTCAATTTGATCCACAATTTATGGAACTGTGACTCTGCAAGCCTTTTTCCCAAAAAAATGTTTTTTTTTTTCCTCTGGAAAGTGCAATTAACTTTCTTAACTTTCCAAACGATAAAACTGGCGTGACAAAAGAAACCCCCCTACCAGTTTGCTGCTAGTGCAGGGTAATGCACTGTATAAGAATGTGCAACTGACAAAGGGAGGGGGGAAACCAAAAAGGCTCAGTTCAGTGTCCAAGCTCCAACACCCAGCTTTCATTTCCAGCCATACGGCACACTGCACAGAACTGCTCCATTATGGAGTATAAACATGGGCCAAGTGAAAATAAATAAAGGTATGAAAGCTGTGCGGGGAATCAAAATTAATGCTACTCGTGATTTTCAGCTGGAGCGCAGCTGGCTATGAGCTTGCCTGCCCATCACTGCGGTGACTCATGGGTCGCACAACACTGGGGAAACGGCTTCACGGCTGAGGATAATGGGCTCTTATGCTAAATTATATTTGGAAATGTCTTTGCACACAGTGGAACGTATGACCACAGTCTGGTGAATGGAAACCTCAGAGCAGTGTGGTTAAAGAGCAGGCCGCTATACCAGCCAACATACCTGAGGGATTTGTTAGCATTCACACTGCAGGAGAGGATATTTTATATTAGAATTTGATGTTGATGTTTATAAAACTTTTTATCTGTACTGTAAGATGTGATTGCCTTCGAATTAGGATGGAGTTTTCAACAATTAAAGTCGTAATGAAAAATGGTTTCCACAAAACAACTGACATATTGCAGATAGCTGATTTTAATGGGCAGATCTTGCAAAGACAGGTCTAAAAGATATGCTTAAAGAGTGGCCACTTACTGAGGTGGCTTCTCGAACGAAAGCCGATCCATTGCCTCGCCCACTAGCCTCCTCCAGCATGTCCTCTCTCTCCAGGCATCTTCATCAATTTCGGCCTTGCCAGCACCTTTTTTCACTGAATCAAGCCATCTTAGTAAAGGACTTCCTCGTGGCCTCTTTCCCTCAGTATTCTCTTCTACTATGTTTTATTAGGTCTTGATCTCTTCTCATTACATGGCCATACCACCGTAGTCTTCTTCCTTTGACAGTAGCAACTACTGTATATCAGGGTGGCAGAATAGAACACAGTCATAAAATTGTTTATTTTTAATATTTATTTTTTGTCATTGTGCCCGTCCCTTGCAAGGTTCTAAATGCAATTAAATCTGCTTGTATCAAATAAAACCTGTTTTAAACACTCAGGAAGCAATAATGTGTACTGTCACCGTGTGTAAATCCAGAAGTGATTAATTTAGAAATGGACGAAAGGAGTCAAAAAGCTCACCTTGCTAATCTGATTGATTCTAAACTCTTATCCTGCGCTCAGTGTTGTCTGAAGGCTAAAAAACTCAATTTTTTTCTATATGTTTTGAAGCTAAGAAATGGAATAACATAGTGGAGTATTGCTACCTCTCTGAGATAGCACTGTCCAGATGGATGCTTGCGATAATTTTTCTCTAGTTGAAATCTAGAGATCATAGAAATCATTTTCCTTATTTTGGACAGTTATTCATTAACAGAATTCTGTTCGGCTTTGTATATTGTTTCTGTTTGCAATCCTTTTTAACCATTATCCTTCTTTATGTATTTGTGCCATGTTACACAATGGAAAGGGTTTTGTTTGAATTCAGATTTGCATGAGTAAACTTTTGGGTTAAAAGTTTGGCAGTTAGTACTCATTTGTAAAGAAAGGGTTAGCCCTTCCTATGTTTTGTCTTTCTATCTTTGTAAATCTCCACTGAGACTAATAAACAATTGGATGCCTTGAATTTTTTCTAATGGTTTACATGTCATAGAGGCCTCTTTATCTGGTCAGCTAGATAAAACAAAATAACAACAACAAAAGAAAAACAGAAAGCAGATGTCTTCAGGGAAAGAAAAAAGTGGTGTGATGATAGAGTTGATGATCATCAGAAAGAATGTCTAAAAACATCATGTTACACATTCAGCTGTTAGTGTGTTATTGAACTGAGAATTTCATCCAGCCAATTTTGAAAGTTCCCTATAAAATGGCTTCAACTGTTTAAAATAGCTTCAACTTCAAAATGGCTCTTGTCTTAAAGAATTTATCTTATTTCCAGGTAAACATTTTCTTAATCATAAACTTTGTTTTTTCATCACTAGTTTTTAATATTCAAGAATGAATTGATTATGAAAAACAAGGTGCTTATTTGGTCCATATGGTTCTCCTTTCTGAGTTCTTGTATGACCTTTCTTTTTTAATCTACTGTATTTTAAGACTCAAAGTATTTAGAGTAGTTTTTTTTAATCTGTGCCATTCATTTTTGACTCTTATGACATATCCCTCACATTAAAAGAGTGCCAGATTTATACCCAATATTGTTATTGAAGTATTGGTAGTATATTGCATAATCATCATCATTGCATCAATTTCATTTTCCACTTATCCAGTTCAGGGACACAGTGGCCCAGAGCCTATACCAGACACACATGTACACACTAGAGCTAAATTTTCAGAAGCCAATTAACCAGCCAGCATGTCTTTGGACTGTGGGAGGAGAATGGAGCATCTGGAGAAAACCCACACAAACTTGTGGAGGACATGCAAACTCCATGTAGATAACACCCTGGGAATTGAATCTAGGGCTCAGTTCTGTGAGGTACTGTAGCAGTGCTAATCACTGCACCACTGTGCCACCCATATTGTATAATTTTAACTGTAAGTAATCTAATTTAATGCAGAACTTTTATTTTGCCTGAAACAATGACAAATCCACATGTTATGTTTGTAGTTGCATTTCGTTCCATTCAGCTTCAGCTTACCAAGTATGACCTTTTGAGGCATTAGATACATTTCAACTTGGCAAAGCTGACTTTTGAAATATTGAAGCATACAGTACATTTCAGTCTGGTGCTGCGCTAGCTCAAACAGAGAGCCAAGCATGTCAGTGGGTGACTGATTGTTTACATTTTTTAATTCATTAGGGACAAATAGACACATTACCGTACTGTATATAAAAATCATTTGAAATTGAACTGCCGCATCTGAAATGTAACATGAAATATTCAAATAAATAGAAAATCCAAAATAACAAATCCAAAAGTCAATATTATTTTATTTGGAGGAGAGGTAATATATTTATTTTCTTCATTTCTATTTCGAAGAGATATCTTTAGGCATCAAATGCTTAAACGCAAGGATTTTCCAGAGACTGAAAGAAGCACAAAGCCACACTTAAAAAAAAAAACTTTAGGAAAAAAAAGACATTTATCTTTCAACAAAATATAGATTCTCTAGTCTTTTTTTCATACCTCACAGTTCTGGAACTGTGTGCTGTTAACCAACCCAACTCACCATGGGAGCCTGGCATCACACTCAGGGTTGAAGACCACACACGTTGTCCCTCCAAGGCCTGTATCACCAAGCCATCTGCTTTTCTTCCGTGTAGTGATCCTTAAGAGCAAGTGGCAAAGTAACTGAGGTTTGAAAGAGATTCCCTTGATGATATGAGCACTGTCTGGCCAGTGTCAGGGGTTCTTTGGGCACTTTAAAGCAGGGATTATCTTGAATAATGCTACATTTGCTATGCGACAATAGGAGTTACCAGCAGTTTGCAAATAGGAACGTCTTGATTCATACAGGTAAACTCCAGGATTTGGTACTCAACTTGTGCTTTGGGCAGAAGTTAATACTAGATAGTCGTTTTAAATTTTAATCCTCAATTGTAATTTTAGTCATAATCATACATCTGGAGGGTGAATAGATTCCTACCTGAAATTAATCATTAATAAGTTGCTGACAAAAAGAGGTTAAACTAAATAAACCACTGGCAGATTAAGTCATTATTTGGATGGCAAATGGTTGCAGGTAATTAAAATATGCAGTCAGACCCCATGTCAGAAGACAAACATCATGTGTTTTGATGGGGCACATGAAGTAATTTGGCATTCCTCACATGCAAGTTTTCTGCCTGAACCTTGTCGGTTGTCCAGTTACAGGAGACCTCCAGAGCAGTGGGTGTCTACTTTACCAAGGAGTTAAAGTTTGTGATTCAAGCAAAGAAATATTGAGCCATGAGGCCAGAGAGGTTTTCTGTTATCAAACAAAAGATGACAGAAAGTAAGGCAACAGGATCTATGGCATCCACTTTAAAATGCTCTGTTTTATTGTGCAACAATAGTGACCTGGCAACTACAGAGCAGCAGAACCAGTGGCGATGTCTCTGTCAAACAATGAGATCATGTTGCCTGTATTGCTTCTCGCCGAAAAAAAAAAAACTGAAATTATATTTTGAATTCAACACTTGTATTTTGCTCAGAAGAGCTAAAAGGCTGGGCAGCTTTGTGTAAGTTGTACTTCAAAGGGAAATGACGAATGACTTAAAATATCAGGTAGAATAAAACATGCAGGCACATATGGAATGAATCTCATATACAGGAAAGGCTGCTGCTGTTGCATACTGTAATTTTGTAATTTTGGTAGCTTCTCAGAGATCAGAAACCACAAATCATTGTTGTTCTCTCTATATACCTTTCTTTTGAGGATTTACTGTCCTTTATAGAAATAACCTAATAGAAAACAAGAAATAGATAGATAAGACAAGATAAATACACAGAAAGGAAGGTAGAATGAAGCAGAATGTAATTTGTAGATTTTCAGCTAGTAGTAAGTTCAATAAATTACATAATAGAAAAGACATGGGCAATTTACATGCAAAAAAGTCAAAACATATTAGCAGTGTAAAAGTTCACAGAATGGTATGATGGGTGCAGGAACCATACAATGGTTTCTCATAATGAAAAAGTTATAGAATTATTAATAATAAAAGAAAAGGTTTGAAAACAACAGTCTACATTAACTTAAAAAGATCAATCCAGAACTGATACAATCATATATCATACAATCTAAACGTAGAATCTTGTAGAAGCATCAGGAGGTGTTCAGAGATGCTTAAGTCTTGGTGATTCTAGAAATGCCAGGGACATGGTGATGTGAAGAGGGTGAGGACCTGTCTGTGATGGCACAGAGCACAGGCAGAACAATGAACGGAGCAGTGGCAATGGATGTCAATTAATGTAAAAAGAGTTTTGAGTAGAAATCTGCAGTGAAGAGTCAGAACAACAGGTATTGGAAGGGTGAAGCAATGCAGATTTTTAGGATGACAATTTAGGATGAGCTGAAGAGGGTGAATTGTTGGTGTAGAGAGGCCAGCTGAGAGAGTTGTTTTGGTGACCAAGTCAAGAAAGAACATGAGCTTGACTGAAGAGCCGAGTGGAGCACGTTATTGGAAAGGCATCCTGTAGGTGTTTTTAGAAATACAGGTAGATGGCGAAAGCTTATTAGGGTAAAAGTATGATGTGATAAGGAAAGGGAGGGGTCAAAGGTAGTCTATGATTTTTGGTATTGAAAAAGAGAATATACATTTCTCACAATAGAAGAAATGAAAGAGATCTGGAATCTGCTGGTGGTTTTCAGTTTCTGCATACGCATGCAAACATATTTATTGGTAGTTCACTCTGACTCTTTCAAAAATATCATAAATATAAATTCATAAATATTTTTACCTGGGCTGGAAATTTGCTCTGTAGTTTGCTCTTTGTTGAAATGATGTTAATTCTTTTTATTTTTTTCATGTTAAAATATGTTCAAAGACAAATACTGTAGGTGGCTGTAAAAACATTTCACTACCAGAAGAAAAAAATAAGCACTACTGCTGCCTAGTGGTTTGAATTGGAAAAAGCAGACACCTAGTTTACTAAGAGACTTTCTACCCTGTGCAGATTTGTAGGCTTTCTTATTTGATATCTCAGATACTGAATATGTATGTATACACTTATATTTTCTTGGATTTTTGTTTGCAGAATGTCTTGTAGGATTGGATTTGGTTGAAATGGTATCATTTTTTCTTAAAGGCCACCTTTAGGTTATATATTACGTTATATAAGCAAGATTTATTTTTCATTTAAGATGTTCTCTTGTCATTTTGATTTTGTGTTATATAAAGCATGATTAATTACTCACTTCCTACTTTTCAAGCATCACTCTTTAACCCTGAAGTGTACAGAGCTCTCTTCATGCAATAGCAATAGGCCGTAAAAGCCATTCTTAGCCTTAATGTACACTACTTATCATCCTACCTTGAACATTTACTGGTCACACGGAAAACAAAACAGGTAAAATAAATACATAATTGGTAAACAGACCAATTTGCAGGTGTTACACAATGATTCTTCTCTTTTTTGTTTGGGTTTCCTAGTGGTCCAGAAGATGGACAATGTCACAGAGGGCTTGCAGTCTTATGGGGGAAAGATCACAGCTGTAGAGACTGACTTGAAGAAACTTGGTAAGTTTCAAAAATAGGTAATTTAGTGCTCACTTTTCTGTAATGTTAACCCTTAAGAAATAATAGTCTTTCCTTTATTTTTTCCTGAATCAGGAGATTTGGAGTAATTTTATAAAGTGGTTATTTCTGAAAATTCACAAATTCACGTTGTGAAGTAAATATACCTACATGTCTAAAATAAAAAGTATATTTTTTTACTCCTGTTTTTGAAGCTGTATAAGTTATCTGTTCTGTAATTAATTGGCAAATTATCACATTTTATCACTTTATTATTTTATCACATAATTGTAATATGATTGTAATTTATCATAATTTAGTGCTGTTGTATGTACTGTAACACGAATGTCATGATATTTACGACTTGATAAACGTTTTATTTTACTGTTCAGGTGATGGCTGACTGTAGCTCAGGATTTCGTAGATGGTCACAACAATAACAGTATAATCAAGCAATTTTCTTCTAAAGCTATTTTATGTCCATCCAACTATTTTCTAACTGCTTTGTCTAATTCAGGGTCACAGGGAAGCAGCAGATGCAAGGCGGGGTATACCCTGGACAGGGTGCCAGTACATTGTGGGGATCATGTAGGCATAAAAACATGCACATACTCACACCCAGGCCAGTTTTCACAAAAGCCAATTAACCTACCAGTATGTCTTTGGAATATGGGAGGAAACAGGAGCTCCTGGAGGAAACCCATGTGAACACAGGGAGAACATACAAACTCCACTCCTCAGGTCGGGAATTGAAACCAGGGCGTTAGTGCCACCACTGCACCACTGTGCTGCCCTTGCTATTGTTTAATAATTTATAAAAAATCCTCACAATTTGTTGCTTTTTTTCAGATGACCAGACTGGGCAGAAAACAGAGAACACCAGCAGTGAGATCCTGGCTTTTAAGTCTAACTTTCAGACACTTCAAAAGCAGCTCAGTGACATTGCTGAAAAGGCCACTAAAAACAAAGTAGCACTTGACAAGCTGCAGGATGCTGGACAGTCCATACAAACTAGCCACAGCTCCTTACAGGGCCTGCTTGACAGCAACTCCAACATGATCAAAAATGTCAACCGCACGCTGCTTACTTACAGCAGCTACATCTCTAGCCTGCAGGAGGACACCTCTCGCCTCCAGACTGACCTCCAGAACCAGGTGAGGGATCAGAGCATCACAGTAGTGAATATAAACAGCCTTAACATCACACAGGCACAGCAGAGGAATCTCGTCAGTCTTTTGCAGAAGTCAGTGGATGATACCAGCCAAGCCATTCAGAAGATCAAGAACGATTTCCAGAACCTGCAGCAGACCGTGCGGCAGACCAAGACGGATGCCGAGTGGCTGAAGGAGAAGGTGCAGAATTTGCAGGCTGTGGCCACTAACAACTCAGCCTTGGCCAAAGCGAACAATGATTCCTTGGAGGACATGGGCTCTCAGCTGGCAGCCCTCAGCAGCCAGATCCAGAACACCACGGTCTTGGCTGAAAGTCATGACCAGAGCCTGCGGGAGCTTATGGACCACCAGAGAGACCATGATAACATGACTTCATCAAAGTTTGACACCTTTGAACTACGTATGGACAGCACAGAGCAGGACATTGACCGCGTCACCGGCAACATTAGCATCACCACCCAACTCCTCAGAGCCATTAACACCAACCTTAATGACTTGCGGACGTGCACAGAGACCATTGGCCGGCATTCAGACTATCTGCTTAACCTGAACAGTACACTGGCAGATGTGCGTGTGGATACCACTACTCTCAGGACGCAACAGGACGAGCTGCGGGCCCGTCTGGATAAAGAGGTGAACAATCTATCAATGGTTATGGAAGAAATGAAGCTTGTGGACTCCAAGCATTCTCAGCTTATCACTAACTTCACCATCCTTCAAGGTAAAGGCAGTTTAATCAAGTTCAGTTTAGGAATCATGTAGATCTGTTGCTCTTTACCCACGTTCTGTGCACCTCAGTATTAAAGTTGTGATTTTTTATAGCGTTTTAGTGAAGTTCCAGTTCTTCTGTTTCTGAAAAACACAGTAAATATTCGAGTCTTAAGAGTTAAAGCACTGATGTGAAGCACTGTTGAGTCCTACAGATATCACTGTAGGGCAGACAAAATGTCACTGCTTTGAGTCTGGGCTGTGAAATTGTCACCCATGCCGTGCAATGCAAAGCTATATGTACAGAAGAGAGTAAAATGGAGAAAATAAGTCTAATTATTTTCACTATATTATTATTTCTTTTATATTGTTTTACTATTGTAAAGATTAGATAAAACGATTAACTCAAAACAGAAATAAAAAAATGTTGCTTTATTTGTCATTAGTACTGCTTTAACCTGCGGAGAAGATAACAAAATGTATTTGATTTAGTTTTTTTATCAGATGTGTAGTGATTTAGAATATTGTACTATAGCTTGTTTAATCATTAACTGTACATATGCAATCAGAGGTTCAAGTTGGGAGTTGTGTCAGAGTGCGAGCTACAAAGGAACAAGTCAACTTTTATTCCATATTGAAAGGTAGAAAGAAATGATGTTTTGACTATGACGTTTTCTTCAGGTGTATAAGAGACCTGAAGACGGCCAGAATGCATACCTACAGTAAAAACTCTCTAAAAAAAGCTCCACAGCGAAAACAGTGGTTTTACTATATCTTTTCTACTTTTCAACATGGAATAACTTTGGTTTCTATCTTCTCACTCTAATGAAATTTCCTAGCTCATTTGCAGGGCTTGATTGGTTTCTAGCTGTCTGACCCAGAAGTGCGATATAAGATTTTCATTTATTATTTTAGACTGCAGTTTGGAATCTCCTTAAATTTATCACTGCGTGTAAAAGAATTTGTAAAAGAAAAAAATGGACTAATTTTACTGGCACACATTTATATTTGGTGGGACATGCTGTTCAGCCTGTCAAGAGGTTTTGAGATAACATTTTAGTATTGACATCCATGAGAATTGTAATAAACACTATATTAACAGGCTATTAAAAGCACTGTGAGCACTTGTAAAATAGTAATAACCACCTTAGAGCTAGCTACTTGCTCTCTTTTAAAGCAGGTTGCACTTTTCTGCAGAAGGGTTGTAGGAGTCTGGAGCCAGCTACCTAGCCATGTTGTTGACAGGTCACGGATGAGCAACCTAGTGATCTAGACAAGCTGATGTCCTTCTCCCGCATTTTAGTTTAAAGTTACCTAAAGGTAAAAAAAAAATATTAATTTAGAAGACATTGCACTTCGCAGATGCCTTCTATACTGTGGGCAAAGAATGCACCGAAAAATGGCAGCACCCCAGAACATTTTCATTTAAAATGATCAGCATTGCTTCCTCTGAGCTGGACTTGAAAGTTCTGCTTGTCTATTCCAGGCCCTCCAGGTCCTAGGGGTCCGCGGGGAGACAAAGGACCTCAGGGCTCCGCTGGGCAACCTGGACAGAAAGGAGAGAAAGGAGACAAAGGGGCACAAGGACTGCCAGGCCCACGGGGAGAGAAGGGCTCTCCAGGTCCACCGGGAGTCCCAGGGTTTAAAGGCCAGCCGGGCTCTCGGGGAAGTCCCGGTTCTAAAGGCTCCAGGGGTTCTGGAGGGCGAGCTGGTGCTCCAGGAGCGAAGGGTGACCCAGGCATACAGGGACCCCCAGGCAGAGATGGGCTGCCAGGACCCCAAGGGGTACAGGGGCCACCAGGGGTACGAGGGCCAGTTGGGCCAACTGGAGTACCAGGGGCTCGAGGGCCAGTGGGCCCTGTTGGGCCACCTGGTCCCCCTGGACCTCCAGGACTTCCTGGCAGACCCGAGAGTCCTGTGGAGCCTGTTTCACTGCACAGCGAGACCTCCACTTCTGTAGCTAAATCACAGGGTATGTCTTGTCTGTCTCTTACACAGATATTACTGGGACCATTTGGGAAGCATGTAGTCATCCCTGATGCATGCAGTGTAAAGCTTCTCACTGATTGTTCTGTTTTTAATCAATAATCAACCCACTTTCTTTTTACGGCTTTGTCTCCGTGGGCTGAATTCATCCAGCATAATGAATTTTATTTTTACTTTGCATGTTCCAACAAAACTCGCCGTCCCATGCCAGATGCACTTCAATTTTTACACCATGTACAGTATAGGTTTCACATTGGCCACTGCCAGTGCAGAAAAATATTTCATGTCAAGAACTTGAAAAATAAATATCCAATTTAAGCAGAACCTGCATCACTAAAAAATAAAAAAGAATACTGCTACCTTTAGGTTTTCTTTTAAAATTATGATCACTTAATTTGTAAAGATAAACCAGACCACATGGATATCATATCTGGGATGTTCATGGAAGATGCTTAATCTTTTTATTGATTAAAAAAGGTTCTTTTTTCCAGGATGCCCTCCACTGTGGAACAACTTCGGAGACAAGTGCTACTACTTTTCCACAGAAAGATTTAATTTTGAAGAAGCCAAAAGACACTGTGAAGAGATGCCTTCTGCCATGGTTATTATTAATGATCAGGAGGAGCAGGTGAAGTACATTCCTGAGTTTCTGTGTAGCTCTTCCTACACTCTTCATTTTACCAAACCATAACTTATGTAAAGCCAAATATCTATGAGGTGCAAGGTATGAAATTCTTTAACTCAGATTTAAATCTACTAGAGTTACTTTTATCATTGTGAAGCCACTGCTCTGAGCAGAATTACCTGTATGTAACCTTTAATCATCTACTGGAAACAGTAAACCCTCTCTTGAATGCAGTCTACATTTACCTCGTATTTTTGAGAAAGGAATTTTAGTTCTTAGAATTTGATTTGCTACTTAATATGAGGTCAACATTCAACATTTTTCAGACTAGTTTATTTTTCTTGTATTATATAGTTTATTTATTGTATTTTTCAAATGTTTCAACAAATCCAATTTAATTAGTAAGACTCATGAATTAATTGTTTCTAATTTGTCTTGACCTATTCATGGATGCCCATTCATCTCAAACAAAATACAATACTTTAACAGTCAGCAGTAGCTGATTCAGCATTGGCAGAAAGTCATTGTCTTGTTTTGTCTGTGTTTAGATTTGACGGCTTAACCACTGTCTGTGTCTCTGGGAGACCAGAAGAAATGTTTAGCTTTTGGATGGTTTTAATTTGGAGCTTTTAACCTCCTGGAGTGAAAAGCACCATTGTTTGTTATTTCTGAATCTGTGGCATTGCACTAACGGTATTCTCAGTGAGTAAAGTGACAGTGCATCAACCTGTGGCTACTCCTCAGAAAATAGTTTGCCAATCAAAACCTCCAGTTACTACAATAATTGGTATGAAGTATTCGTGTAGACAGGGAATTGCAGCTATATCAAATCTATCATTTTAATTCAGGTTTGTTTTTCTTTATTTTATTCTGAAGCATTGGTTAAAAAAGCAAATTGTAGGCAAGGGCTACTTCTGGATAGGCCTGACTGACAAAGAGGAAGAAAACACATGGAAGTGGTGGGATGGTACCCAGCCATCTTTCACGTGAGTATTACAGGAATGCACAGTGGTTCTGCTGTTTGTGTACTTTATAAATGCTTTGGCAAATAAAAACCATCCTGATATTTATAATTGCTTGGGTAATGGTATGTAGACAACTACAATGCATACCCATTTTAAAATTGGCAGTTGTGCGTTTTTATCGTCTAGGCTTGCATACAAACCCCATGACCATAGAAAATACAGGGGAAAGTGAGGAAGTGTTGGTAAACTCCCCCCAACCCACCGATCTGGTTCATTCCTCACGTGAGACGGGGGTTTTGTCATCCTTGAGGCTGTAATTGCCTCATCCAGGAGAGATAATGCCAAACATCAAAATATTAAGCAAGTTATCCCTTTATATTTGTTGTTATTAACTTCTTGCTAAATGATTAAGAGTGTCGTCAACAGTCTAGGAACAAGGGGGTTAATAAAATAGAAAAACAGAGCAGGATGCTCCAAACATGAATGGGAATCTATCCTCCATTCTAAAAAGGTATCACCAACTTGGAGTTAGCCTGAATTGCCAAATATAAGAAAATCCTAAAATAAAGGACCGCATGCTCAATTTAACAAGTAGAGTAGTAGAGTAGTTTATTGCCATATGTACACATACTGTACATTGGAATTCTTAATCACGCTGATCTCTCGGGACACACACAGTACAACTGACAACACTACACAATGTGGACAACAGGAGAAATAAATATTTTGGGGAACAATAAATATGTAGTAGTGAGACCGAGAAAAAAAAGGATAGACTATGTAAAAAGAGTGCACTTGAGTCTGAGTCTCAGTTAGCTGTTATATAGGATGCTCACTGCAGTGGGATAGAAGCTGTTCTTGAGATAGTGGTCCTTGCTTTAACGGTGCAGTACCGCTTGCCAGAAGGTAGAGGGGAGAACAGTTTGTGGCTGGGATGGTTGGGGTCCTGAGTGATGGATGTATGGATGATGGATGGATGGATGGATGGATGGATTACTTACTGTAGCTAGAATCTGGTCTTTAAGATTGATCAGAACAAGGTCCTCTCACCTGGCACACTCCTCACCCTGTTTCCTTGATTCTCTTCTTCTTTTCTTCTTCCATTCTTCTTCTGTTCTCTCTTTCTCTGCCAGTCTTTTATCCTGTCTCTTGACCGATGAGGACTTTAATGATTTGGCAGGGAGTTAATTAACTAGTAAACCAGCAGGATCCTTTTGGTCTTATCTCAGACCACCTACTGTACAGCTCAGTAAACATCTTGGCTCCTACTCATTGTTTGTAGGCTCTAAAAACATTAGCTTTTATGATCATTGTAACAATACTTTGACATGTGCCTTCATTATCACCCCTTCTGTGGTTTCAGAAACTGGAAAACAGGACAACCAGACAACTGGAGCCATGGTCATGAGAAAGGGGAAGATTGTGCTGGCCTGATTCATGACGGCTACTGGAATGATTTCTTCTGTGATGAAATCAACAGTGTTGTCTGTGAGAAAGACATGGAGGAAGGTAAGGCTGCATTAGAGAGTCAGTTTATGCTTCAGTCATTATTATGATGTAGTATACAGTACTTACCCCAGTGAAAAATGTGTTGTTTTTTATGTTGCTTTGCGATCCTCTGTGCCTGGAAGCCATCTTGGTTTAAGCAACAAAATGAAAGTTACAAAGATTGATTGATATACAGGACTGAAGAAATCATATTTTCATCAAGACTGATTTGTTTGTTCTATATTGTTTGTATAATAGGATCATCCTACAGCAACCCAGAAAGGAAAAGGCCAAATCTTGCTTACAATGTACTTCAACAAGCACATTTAGTGAATACCACCAAAAGACTGTCTGTAAAGACACAAACCTGCACACAAAACTCTTAGCCTTTTATTTTAGTTCAAAGTGAAGTACATATACCTTAGCAACCATAATGATAAACCCTTTATTTGTTTTAAAACATGGTCCACACTGTACTAGCAAATTAAAAACTAAAATATCTAACAATTTGTTTTTCTAAAAAACAGCACTACAGTAGCCATTAACTGTAGTGTTATACATCTTGATTTGTTGTGTAGTTTTGTAGTTTTTCACCCAGTTCAGTTCACACTGAAGAGAAAGGTTGTTGCCAGGCTCAGTTTTTTTTTTCAAAGAACAGAGTGTACCTTCTGATGCTTTTGTGCAGTTTAGCTGCCACTGGAATCTGTCTTAAGGACATAAGAAGGTTACATGAGAGGAGGCCATATGACTCATTGTTCTCATTTGGCTGCTTGCACCTTATTGATCTGTGGATCTGTAGCTTGTTACTGACACTCAACAGACTTACTCATCTCCTTTTCTGATTTTGCTTCCCCGTTCAGGTCCCTCTTGATGTCTCTTATGTGCTCTGAGCAAGTGTTTGTGGCACCTGGGAGCCCATAAATTAAATTGCAAATAAGCAAGATGACACAAATGACCTCCTTTCTTATGGACTTTTTTTTCTTTTTGTACCAATTTAAAATTTTTTGTACAGTTACATACACAATATAGATCTGAAATATTAAATTTCACCTTCACATTTACTTATCTTCATTATTCTGAATTATTTAAAGTTTACATACACAGACAATACAAAAACAAAAGTCTTAAAATGTTAAAAATGTATATTGTAGATACAGTATATCTAGTAATAAATAGTATATACAGTAGTTGTATGGTATGGACACTGTTACAGAGAAGCTGCAATTCTCTTCCCCTTTTGAGTGTGTACATACTTTCAATTAATTTTATTAACTTAGATCGTTACTCATCTTTTAATGTTATGAAATAAGTCAATTTAATGTGTCAGAAATAATGAATACAGTGTTCAAATAATGTTTGATTATATTTAAAATGTTTAATTGAAATATACTGTAGATACTATACTGTACCTTTTTACAAATTTTTAAATAATATGACTAACCCCAAGTGATTTAGTACTACAAACATATGAGGTATTTAACAAAGTAATTAGGTATATTTAAATTCAAATGGAAGCGCATTACTGTCTTGTAGCCTGATGTCTAAGGAACGTCTAAGGAAAACCTGGTTGCTGCTGCAATCAAAATTAATGAAACAGTAGGGGGCACTCTATAGCAGAAATGTACATGAACGCATTCAAACAGATGGTATAATAATAATTGCTTACACTTATATAGCGCTTTTCTAGACACTCCACTCAAAGTGCTTTACAAGTAATGGGAACTCCCTGGATGATGATGTGACGGCCGCCATAGTGCGCCAGAACGCTCACCACACATCAGCTATGAGTTGGGAGCAGAACAGAGTAATGAAGCCAATTCATAGATGGGGATTATTAGGAGGCCATGATTGGTAAAGGCCAATGGTAAATTTGGCCAGGGAGAGTCAAAACCTCGGTTTTACGTCTCATCTGAAGGATGGCGCCTTTTTACAGTATAGTGTCCCCGTCACTATACTGGGGCATTAGGACCCACATAGACTGCAGGGTGAGTGCCCCCTGCTGGCCCCACTGACACCTCTTCCAGCAGCAATCTTAGTTTTTCCCACTGTCTCACCGTGCTGTCCATAATGGAATTGTGTTTTCATTTTAATGGTTGCATTAACATTAAATATGTGAAATATCTTTATTATTTCATTGGAAATGCTTTTTGGTTTGGAGACGCTTTTTGGTTACAAAACTAACCTTTTGTTTTGTTTTTTAGCAAAAAGGCTAGGATTATAACACAAGCCCCATGAAGAAAAAGAAAATGTGTGATGTTTGGCCGGTGTAATTTTGAAGTGCTTCATAAACTTGTTGTGAAGACCTCAAACACACAGCTTAGTGATGGAGTTTCTGAAGAAACTGAAGACGAAAGGGAACTGAACCAATTCACAATTTCATCCCTGTCTGTGGTTTCAGGATTTAATACCATTTAATTAAATTTGCTGCAAGAATAAATTGAATTTATACAGCAGCTCTTTACAAAAGAAAAGAAGTTTAGCATTTCAGCACAAAGACAGTTACAAATTAAGAGAATTATATTTGTTATTTAGCTATAAGTCCAATTATTTCAATCATATAAAATGTATATTTTTTCTTTTATTTTTAAATGCCATTTCACATATACAAGCCCGTAGTCCATTACGTACTAATTTCAGAACATATATTTTTCTTATTACATGTCATTTAGTACTTGGATTCTTGAATGTTTTTCAGTACCATAATCAAATAATTTGTTTTGCAAGTGATACAGGCGTTCTTGTAAATTTTTAATCAACCACAAGGTGTAAAGATATCCTTGAGGAATGCCTTTTTAAACCTTGAGAATTGGCTGGCTATACATAGCTATATTGCATACATAATATTAACAGTATCATGAAAAGGCATTCAGTGGATTGAAAGCAAAAAACTGTAAGTTTACATTTTGTTATAATATTTTTCTACTTAATAGATGTTTTATGTTTAATTGTGAAACATAATTTTATGAGACACTTTTTACACACTGTACATAAAAACACATTTGACCTCTTGATCCAGAAAGACCAGCCAGACATTTCTATCTCTACTCTCAGGGAAATTGTGATTTCCTGTATAGCGTATTTTGTTGTGGTGAATAACCTCTCTCTAAATTTTCATAAGTCATTCCCAACTGCCCATCAGTAACAAAAATAAACGTACAGTATATGTGTTATTGAGTCTGGACTCTGTTTTCTTTGCTAACGCGTTTGCTACAGTAGTTTAGCATGCAGAAATGCCTCAGAATGTTTCACTGGTTACAAAGTTACGAGTAAGAAAGCATAACTGATACAAAATCTAAGCAGTCAGTGCTGCATGAAAATGGTTAACAAAAAATAAAGTGAAAAGTAAGCCTAGATTAAGTTAAAATCTTCCTGCCAATTACAAATGAAATATTAATTGCTGGCTTTGTATTTTATGATAATGACAGGGACTTACGATTTGGTATTAGCTGGGCTTTGGTAATGTATTTATATATTTTCATCGTATTCATATTATATTTTCACACATACTGTATGTCTCCAGTATCTCATGATTTTGGTTAAACATAGAGGTTACCAAAACGTTTTAACCATTTCTAAGCAAATTTCTATACATATGTTCCTTCATTTCTTTAATGTGGTTGAGTTGATGCCTAAAGTTAGTTTTCATGGCCTCTAGGAGTGTATGCAATCTCTTTGTCCATTACAGTAGCTCATCTAATGTATCCTGAAGTGAGACTTCAATTTGAAGCTAAACACCTAGATTTATCTTGCTATTAATTTTGAATGTTATTTTGAGTTCCAGGAAAAAATATAGCTTTCTCAGGTCTCCTATACATTTACAATGTTACATTAACTTTCTTGGCATTGACTTTCAGGGTGCAGTGTAGTGTAATATAATTACGCTATTGTAATTGTAATGCATTTTACAACTGCTTCTTCCAATTCAAGGTTGCTGTCACAAGGCAGGATACACCCTGGATGGGAAAACAGTCCATCACAGGCCAATACACACACACAAACATGTACACACTTGCATCAAGGACTGTTTTTTCAGAAGCCAGTAAACCAGCGTGCCTTTGGACATTGGGAGAAAACCAGAACACTCAGAGGAAACCCTGGTAGACATGGGAAGTTCATGCAACCCAGGGCCAGAGCACTGTGAGGCAGCAGTGCCACTCACCACCTGTGTACCCCCGTGCTGCCCTAATGCAGTGTCACACAATGTCAATGAAGTGCAGCAAACAAGATATCATCATATCAACATAAAGACTGAAGAACAGGTTTTCACCCCTTTCTGTTTTAACAAAATTATAGTCCTGAATTAAAACTGTGTATCCAGTAGCTGCATGACAAGTAGTCAATGAAGGGACCCTTTCACTTAGAAAGGGTGGATAGGCTTTTGAAATTCTAAAGAAACCATTATAACCCTAATTATTCCACATGGCAAATGATAGACTGATGTGTTTGTAATTACATGCTCTCCATAAACATGGGTAAGTTTATAAGCAAAGCAGGTACTGTATAATGCTGAGTGCTAAAATATGCACAATACCTCTGTGATAACAATAACTCTATGAAACTATAGGGGCCATTAATTAGTCTAATATGAAGCAAATAAGTACTATTCAGTATCTGTTTTGCAGAACCTAAAGGAACAGATCCTAGTTTTATTTGACAATACTGTAGATATAAACTATAGAGTACCTCAAAAATAAACAGCACAACTACAATGTTTTTATGTTCAGTTTAATACACATACATTACATGCACAAAAGTACTGACCTAAAATACTAGTACATGTACTGTATTATTGTTAAGACATACTGTAAAACAATTTATTATGTTGTTCCTAAGGTGTACTGCTATGCTAAGTTGCATGTTAACTGTTAAACTGCTCTTAGTGGTTACTTTTGTGCATACTGTAGTACCTTGAATAAGTACAGCACTGCTTCATACATTTTAGTAAACTAACACAGTGTTCATTCCTTTCAGTGAAGTGCAATTCCAAAGGCACAAACTCCACATTTATCCACAAGTTCTGATGATTTCCTTTAATATCATATCAGGTTTTTCTGCTGCACGCCCACGTACACTTTTTTAACATCGCTTGCAATACTTCTTTCCATTCCTCACAGAATCCCTTCAAATTTTCCCAATCAGGACTGCCTGAAGCAGTTACAACATCCAAGGTACACAGAAACATCAAATGATTCAGAACTAAAGTTCTACTTGCTTTAGAACTTCTTTCACAGTTTTTACAAAGCGTCATATCTGTGCTCATTAACTCAATTGAATTAAAAGCACAGAAATTGGATGTACCACTGCCCAGAGCACAAAAATGTTCCTAAAGGTCAAAATTATGATTACCGTCATCTAAAATTGTACTGTATCTATATAGTATATGGTCTTCCTTTTTTTGTTTAGCTGCACATAACATGGAAATGATCTCATTGTAGTACAAACAGCACCTTTGAAACGGTAAGTGAACTTCTGTAATGGCTCAGGATGCTGCAGTCTTTTTTAAGACAGCTCTGTAGTGATGCACCATATTACTGCAAATAAGAAATTCTACTGCTATTTACAAAAAAACTTGCCTTTACCTCTTTCAGTAAGTTATACATCCAGTTTAAATTTCGATCCAGAAACAAGAACAAGAAAAATATTTAAAGTGTGTCATTTTAACTAGGAATTAAAATTTAACTAAATTGACTAAAAATCTTTTTAGTATTCTGTGCTTACATTTGTTTTGCATATTCCTTAGGTTTTATGGGTTGTTTCATAATCCTTTATGTATTATTACATTACATCCATAACAAAATTAGCTTTACAGTTACTGGGCTTTTAAATAGGTGATGCCACTGTACACAATTAAAAGATACAAGAATATGTTCAATCTTTCCTTAAAAGTGGTGGTTTACTGAATTGGTTTTAGCTGACAAGAAAGCAGGTTATGAAAAAAGAATAAATGGCATATTTTCTAAGGAAAAAGTAAAATGTGGCTTCATCCAAACCTGGCAACATCTTTAGAAGCGCATGTAACCCACAATTGCAGAGCCTAGAACTTGTAACCCTGCATTTTTGTTTTGGAATGAACTGTAACAGAACGTCCTAAAGATTGGACATTCCAGGAACTCAGCTGTTCCAGTTCAACTACAGCCTTATTTATCTGCACAATGAGCATAGGTTTCATCAAACATGTTGAAAAGTTATCAGAAATGTAGTAAATCAGCATATCTCATTCATAAACAAGCTAAAAAACATGGTAAGATTTAATGTATTTTCATCAAATACTTTGACACATCATATTGTTCCTGCTGCATATTGAAAGACTAATAACAGTAATATAAACTGTAATTAACTATTGTAAACAGCTATTACAAGCATTTAAGTATTTTTACAGTATCCAATTGTCTTTTAAAAAATCAATCATACCTTTCTTCTTTTGCTTGTTTGCCCTTTGAAGTCTTTATTTTAGAAGCAAAAACTCTTTGACAGCAAACTCGTTTCAGCATTTTTACTTGGTATGCATTCTGTTTTCTGTTTTTGTTTATGCATTTTGTTTATGTGATGAACACATGAGAAAAAACTGAGCTTTACCATTTTTTTTTTTACATATACAGGTAGCTCAAAATATATCAAGACACTGGAGAGAAACCGCTAAAAATATTTCCAGTAGAAAAACGACACATATCTGATCAGAGTAATAAGGCGTCTCTCCTTCCTTTGCACCAATTTGTGGGTTTAAGGGTTAGAGACGTATTGCACATTGGTGAAAAGAGATAAAGGAGTCCACATAATTTCATGCACAGCCATTTATTCTGGTTCCATGATTGTTAGTCAAGCTTCTTTTCCTGGGACATGGTGGCCGAGCTGGACCATCTTGTAATCTCGAGAGAAGCCAGGCTGGCTCTTCAGCCGTTCTACTCATCCTTTTCCACGATCACCTCCCCATGAAGCACCTTCCTCCTTTGGCGGAGCATGTGGAAGTACAGTTGTGGAAACACTTTCAAGGACAAAAACAAACAAAAGAGACGCGAGGTTGAGCATTCAATAATTGGCAGGCGATATGGAAGTTACTGCCCCAACGCACCACAGCAATGTTATTTCAGCTCATAAAATGTATCTAATTTTGAACAATAAAATGTGCATGTGTGGATGATTTCCCAGTTAATTTCATGCCATATTCTAAAAGAAAACTTAAGACGCTTGAATGTAAACAATTTACACAATGAACAACTGTTATCTCCCCCCCCCAACTTTTAATCTGAGCATCAGAGTGTTTATACACTTTTTCAAACAGTTATTTCAATAATAACCGAGAATACCAATGTGTGAAAAACATCAGGTCTGTGTTGACAGATCTTATGATTTCTTTTACTTTATTTTGACTTTACTTACAGAGTGAACTAACTTTACTTGCTCATAAAAAGGTTGAGTACTGCCCATCTACAGGATGTAGGTTTATGAAATTGCTTGGCAAGTAGAGGTTCCTGCCTTAATAAAATACATAATAGTTTTACTTAAAAATAATTAACCAATATAAATATTAAAAGTCTGGAGAGAACAGTAGATTTAACCTAATGTATACCTAAGAGTGTATTTATTCTAACATTTTGTAAACATAAACATACTGTAACTGTTCATACAAAAATACTTTGAATTGGAATTCACTATTCTGAGATTTTCCATTCAAATCTATGTGATTTGTTATATTTTACTGTTCATTTAATTGTGATTTATGCGGGAAAGGTGCTTTTTCAAAATTCCTGTTAAAGTGATACACCTACTGTATTAAAGTTCTCTTATCAGTAAGCCACTTAACCTAAAAGGGTTATGGCTCCCCGGCCATGAGTCTGAGCTGCAGTATCATAGCTTTCAAGGTGGGACTGACAGCACAGTCTGCTGTCACCCTTGCTGGGGTGTCACCCTCCATTGTAGAGCCACAGAAAAAGGAACAATATAGAACAGTCAACCCCAATCAGGTATTCATCGTTGGAGATGAATATCTACAAGAACAAGGGGAGAGCATACAAACACCACAGAAGCCGCTATCTGAGGACAAAACTGAAATTAGAACCCTGGAGCAGCACAATTTACTGCTACATCCTCTCTACTATACTACACAGAAACTAGTAACTGTTTAAATAAAATGATTATGAATATATTTTGAGAGTGAGAAACAGACCATCATGGTTGACTAGAATATCAGAAGTAACTCAATTAGCATGTTAGACAGGACAAGGAAAATGAAAGATACCGCAGACATATCTGTCATCTGTTTTGTTACAAATATTGTAGTCCCACTACCAAGTGCCTGGGTCTATACCCATCCTTCACTTTAGGCCTACTATAAACTCTTTGCCTATTGGGTAGAAACTTTTAGA